TTTCAGAAACAATGCAGCAACTCTATAAATAGAGTTTGAATCCCAGAATCTTTCCTTACGAAATTTTCTGAGCTTCTTCTTCTTCTTCTTCTGCACAATAAATTCCAGTGTGTTTTACACCCTTCGAGTGGCTCGCTGTTCACCGGCGTTTTGGTACCAACACTCCGGTGAGTTAAAACGTTCTATCCTGGGAGGATATATTTCAGCACCTCGAGTACTTGATGGGAATAATTTTCTTAAGTACACACTGTGTATTCAGTGGGCTCGATTTATTCCTATACTGTTTTTTGTTTTCAAGAATCTATTTCGTTAAACAAGTATTACTAACTTTCTGTTTTGTTTTTCCAGAAAGTTTAATTGTTTATTACAACAATACAGAATTATAACATTCTTAAAAAATTTTTATATATTCTGTATTTTGTTTGTAGAGATTAAAACCTGTGTGATTTTCTACTCCTTCTGAATTTTACTATTCTGATTTGAAGATATAAAAAACTTCATCAGAGTATTGAAATTCATAAAACGATTTGAAGAACATAAAAATTTCATCGTTTTTCTGTGAAACAGTATATAAAAACTTCGGTTTTATTTATTATACATATTATTTTTTGTTAATAACAGTATTGTTTACTGTTCTGATTTTGCCATTAATTGAACTCTTCTGTTGTTTACAATGAGAAATGGCAATTGATAACGGAAATTCTTCTGTGACTATTGCGGCAACGACGATAACCTCGTCAAGCCGGACTGTTGTTTCACCGGCAGAGAAACTGGGAAAATTTTCCAGAGCCAACTTCAAAGGATGACAGCAAAGGGTGTTGTTCTGACTTACCACACTTGGTATGCAAAAATTCACTAGTGAAGAACCTCCAGTGCCTGCTGCGGACATGCCGGACAACGAGAAATTCATGATTGTTGAGGCATGGAAGCAAGCAGATTTTCTTTGCAAAGGGTATATCTTAAGCGCTTTAGAGGATGACTTGTACAATGTGTACAATGCGATGAATACTTGGAAAGAATTATGGGACATACTTGAAAAGAAGTACAAGACTGAAGATGCATGCTTGAAGAAGTTCGTGGTTGCCAAATTTCTAGACTATAAAATGATAGACAGTAAAACTGTTGGAACCCAAGTTCAGGAGCTTCAACTTATTTTTCATGACCTTATTGCTGAAGGTATGGTCGTGAATGAAGCATTTCAAGTGGATGCAATGATTGAAAAATTGTCTCCTTCGTGGAGATATTTCAAGAACTATCTTAAGCACAAGCGCAAAGAAATGAAGTTGGAAGAACTTGTGATTCGTCTCAAGATTGAGGAAGATAACAAAACAGCCGAGAAGAGGTCTCATTGAAACTCAACGATCATGGGATCTAATATCGTTAAGGAGACTACTCCAAAAGTAAGAAGAGAAAGAGGTCTTCTGGACAGACTAAGGAGCAGAACAAAAAGAAATTCAAGGGCAGCTGCTATAATTGTGGAAAAATCGGTCACAAAGCCCCTGATTGTCGTCTCCCGAAAAAGTATAAGAAGAAGGGACATGCCAACATAGTGGAGAAGAATGATGACATTGATGATCTGTGTGCAATGCTTTCAGAATGCAACCTAGTTAAAAATTCGAAGGAGTGGGGGATTGACTCTGGAGCCACTCGACATGTTTGTGATGTCAAGGAAGCATTTGTGACTTACTCTACTGTTGGTCCCGAAGAAGAGCTATCCATGGAAAATACTGCAACAACCAAGATTGAAGGTAAGGGGAAGATATTCCTGAAGATGACTTCCGACAAGGTGTTAACGCTCAACAACGTTCTTCATGTTCCTACTATTAGGAAGAATTTAGTTTCTACTTCTTTGCTT